CAATGCATAACAGTTGTTCAATCCCTTATGTAAAGTGAGCGAATGGACTGCTGAGTGTGAAAAGACCAGTTTTACTGTATAAATATTATCTTATTTTTCATATCAATATAAGTTTATAGAAAAACTTATTTCACTCAAATCTCAGTTGCCTCTCCACACACACATATATATACACACACACACACTATACGCAACCCCACCACCCACACAGCCTTATAAATTAAACACCTTCTCATTATTCATTTCTGCACACACTCTTCCCTCATCTCTCTCTCTCTCCCTTTCTCTCATTCTTTCACTCTCTCTCTCTCTCTCTCTCTCTCTCTACATATATATATATGTTATACTGTTGATGATTAAGCTATCAGCTAGTTAACTGAAGGTACAGAAGAAATAAGAGAGAACAAGAGCAATAGTAAGGAAGCAAGGAGAGAAGAGAGAAAAAGATGGTTGCAGCAGGACAGAACTCTCAAAAGTACCCGACAGTGCCAGAGGTTGAAAATCTTAGAACAATCCTACAGAATCTTCTCATCTCATCTTATCAACGCTATAATTACGATTTTTACTCTCTGTTAATTATTATTTTTTTTAGAATTTTGACTCTTTTAGTAATCTGCTTCCATTTTGGGTCAATGATGATTTTTAATCAGGTGGTGGAGGAGTTTAAGAGAATAACAGATATAGGCTTCCCTGTAATCGCCATGGGCGTGTTGGGTTATCTCAAAAACATGGTTTTAGTTGTCTGCATGGGAAGACTCGGCAGTCTGGAGCTCGCCGGTGGAGCTTTAGCCATTGGCTTCACCAACATCACCGGCTATTCATTCTTATCTGGACTTGCCATGGGCATGGAGTCACTTTGCAGCCAAGCTTTTGGTTCGAAAAATCCATCACTCGCATCTTTAACTCTACAAAGGACAATTCTCATGTTACTTTTTACTTCACTCCCTATTGCTTTTCTCTGGTTTAATCTTCAACCTCTCATGCTTGTTCTTCACCAAGACCCTCAAATAACTCGAGTTGCCAGCATCTATTGTAAGTTTTGCCATACCTGATTTAATCGCCAATAGTCTTCTTCACCCACTGCGCATCTATTTACGGAGCAAAGGCACGACATGGCCACTAATGTGGTCTACTTTAGTCTCAGTCATTTTTCACATACCCATCACCATTTTCTTAGCTTTTACACTCTCTTTAGGTGTCCCAGGAGTAGCCATATCCAACTTCATCGCAAATTTCAATACGCTTTTCCTCCTTATTTCTTACATGTTATTCTCCACTTCTACTCAACCCAACAAGGAAGACGACTCCCTCAATACCCCACTGGTACTCTTACAGCCAGCTCCGCCGCCATGGTCGCCGTCAACTTTGCTGAAAATAGAAGAATGGGGGATTCTGCTCCGTCTGGCAATACCCAGTTGTCTCGGCGTGTGTTTAGAATGGTGGTGGTACGAGTTCATGACGATTCTCGCAGGGTATTTAGATAACCCGCGGGTAGCTCTTGCAACATCGGCGATAGTAATCCAAACGACGTCGCTTATGTACACAATTCCAACAGCGTTAAGCGCATCAGTGTCAACCAGAGTAGGGAACGAGCTAGGAGCAGGAAGACCAGATAAGGCACGTTTGGCTACCGTGGTGGCAATTGGGCTCGCCCTGGTATTCTCTCTTCTGGGTCTGCTTTGGACGACAATAGGTAGACAGCCATGGTCAAAGGTTTTCACAGAAGACAGTCAAGTTCTAGCGTTGACCATGGAGGTTTTACCTATAATTGGTGTATGTGAGTTAGCAAATTGCCCGCAAACAACGAGCTGTGGGATCCTACGAGGGAGCGCTCGGCCAGGAGTTGGCGCAACAATAAACTTCTACTCGTTTTACATGGTGGGTGCACCGGTGGCTGTAGCTTTGGGGTTTGCTTGGCAACTAGGTTTCATGGGTCTCTGTTACGGATTACTAGCTGCTCAGATTGCTTGTGTAGTCTCAATCCTAACAGTGGTTTATAATACAGATTGGGAGAGAGAGTGGTTGAAGGCGAAAGATTTGGTGGGAAACAAGAATGATGAATGTTCATATCCGGGTTGCCAAACAGTCCTTATGAAATGTGAAGAAGGAAATTATGGGGATTGATTTGATTAATTCTTCTGTGATCAGCAGAAGTGACTAGCCGCTAATTATAATGAAACTATTTTTCCACCATTAATACTAAAGAGAAAGAAAATTAATATGGGTTTGACAGGACAAATTCAAACTACACTTTGTTGATTTTCATCGTCTAATTTCATACTTGTTAACTTTTTAGTTTCCTCTTTTTTATTTTTTTTATTTTTTATTTGTCTTTTCTTCTTTATTTTATTACATATTTCTCACTTAAATATTATTACTAATTTAATAATATAGATAAATAAGAAAAACCACAAATATAAATTATAATTTAAATTTATCCACTCTAATAACTAAATATTACTTGTACCCATATAAAATTTATTCATTGGGTATTTTCATTATGTATTACAATTTGTATGTATATATACACACATACATACCACATAATTAATAGTATATATAAATCTTCATTAAAAAATTAATGGGTTCATTTCATTGAAGAATTATTAAAAAAAAAAAAACATAATTTAAAATTTTTTAAACCATATTTAGTCTAGTGTTAGATTTGAAATATAGATATTATAAATTAAGGACGTACGTGTAACTAATTAATTAATGAAATCACATGCATGTGGCTACATATGTATGTATATATATATGCAATGAGTTTCAGTTATATAAGCGTCATATATATATATATATATGCAATTAAGCTAAAATATATACATAAAACATGTTCATGTGGTGAGTAATATGGATCGACCATGCCCAAATTAAGTAACAAATCGTGCTCATTTGCTTGCTGGCACACATGTGCATGCCATGTGCATGTGTGGGCAGGTATGGGCATGTGCGGGTCACATGTGAGGACAAACAAGGGGAAATGGAGTTATAAGTACCGTTTGGACACGCCTTTAACTTGGCCCCTCATGTGTGGTAGTCAATCCTCATTTTTAAGCTAGTAGGACAGTCTAATTTACCTTGATTTGCTCACCAGCCAAACAACTTCTTATATTAATATTTATTTATTTTTTAAAAAAAATTTATTTTATATATATATATATATATGGGGAGAGATAACAAATTAAGAATTCCAAAATTTTTGGAGATGTGACTTATTATTATAAAAATTTAAATTGATAAAAATAATTTAATTTAATTATTTATACATTACCAATATTCTATGTTGAAATCAATAATTAATATAAATAGAATATTATATTTGTAAATTTAATAATTAATTAAAGATAATTAATGTAATACAAAGTAACCTAATCTATTCAATTAACAATACTATATAATTAAGGTCCCACTATGAGGGGGAGAAACATTTGCGAAGCATCTTTTCTCCCGTTAAATAATGGAGGGACACATTCCCTTAAAATAAAAGCTATCGAAACTCAACCAATGCAAAGCAAATGAAAATTTAATTTCGATGAATTACAAAGGCTAGGCTAGGCTATGCTCGACTTTTGATATAGTCTTAATAATAGATGCATTCTAAATATATATTATAAAAATTTAATCATCAGCTGATTAAATAATTAGTACATACTTAAATTTATAAAAATTTATAAGTTCGAATCAAATTGTACTATTTTATATTTTATTATTTAGAAATTATTTATATTATGTTATAATTGGTGTATGTATATCTTATGATTCATAATTATATTAATTTATTTTTTAAAAAATTAAATCTTTTTTTATTAGCTCAAGTATTTAGAATATTGATTATTTTTTTATTGTTTAATATAGTCTCTATAAATTAAATTTTAACACAAGATATGAGGGTTTTACTTTTGATTTGCACCTTTAAATTTCAACCTGACTACATTGTTTGAGGCAACATGTTAATATATAAATAATTTCTTATCATCTTAAACTTTTAAATAATTGATTATACTATATTATTGTCAAGATTATGACAAGAGAATGAAAGAATGAGGAGACAGGCAAAACTATAATGCCAGACAAATTGTAGGAAGAGAGAGACATCATAACAATCTAAATTTTATTAATATCTAATAAACTATAAGTCTGAATCTATAAAAACTGAACACTACATATATATAGAATAAAAAATAAATAAAAAAGTGTCTAAAATATGTGCAACAACAACATATTCACAAATCAACTGCAAAAATCAAATCAAATTTCTCCAAAGGTGTCCCCAGCACCGATGGATAAGCTTACATCACATGGCTATCGAATAGGTGAGTGCGATATACAACATCCCCACATGATATCTTTTCTCATTAAAAATAAAACTTTTATTAAGAATAATATAAATATGGCTACACCACATAAGAAAAAAAAAAAAACTAAGAGTCCCACATGTAAAATGATAATCTGATTATCTATAATTAATATATTACAAATCATTATCTATATGTTAAATTATTTCAGAAGAGTAAATGTAAAAGAATAGGTACCACCAGTCCCACATGTAACACGATAATCTTATTATCTATAATTGATACATTACAAATCATCATATATACATATATACCGAATTATTTTGGGAGAGAATATAAAAAGATAACAACATAAACTCATGATATCCAATATCATATATAATCTAAAAGACAACTATTTTGCATACGTAAAGTACATTGGGTAATATTGTGCAATTCATCACAAGTATATACCGAAAAGTCTTTTTGATAAATAGCTATTGTGTATTAATTATTTTTCTAGCATATTATATCTATAGTGTAATATAAAATCTCAAATCAACTATCACTAAATAATTTGATTCGGTAACTTAATTATCATGTTAGCTTTATTGGATCATTTGAACTAATCATCTTTGCAAATTAACTAACACACCTCAACTTTGCCATCCTAACATTTCACTTCACTTGCTCAAGTTTCAACACTACCTTCTTCAAAAACAAGTTACACCAAAACAAAAGTCATTCATATAATTAGAGAATTTACAGACGTCCCAACCTTATGAATCACCAAAATTTATTTGAGGTGGATATATATATTAGTCCTTATGCATAAACAAAAAGATACGTACATACATACATACATATATATATATATAGTATATACTCTGAGTACTCTTGTCTTCTTTAGTTGTGTACTCAATATCTGCGATGCATGCATGCATATGTCTGTTATTATTATTATTTCTTCTGGGTTTTGGCCCTAGCTAAGAAGAAGGAGAGGTTAAAGAAGATTTTGAGATGAACAGTAAAGGAGATACTTAACAGTGGACATTGTCGAAATAACTCCAAGCATGCATGTTCATATTCATTTGCGCCCTGCAAGCTTGGTCGATGGAGAGCTACGTGCACATATATATATACACACATTATATATACACATAAAACATATTAACGGAGTCTTGCTTCCTTGGTTTTCTAACCCGTGGGCCACCATAATTTTGTCTCTCCAAACAGAACATGCAGGATTACCCATGACGTATTGTGCATGCCTCCTGAAAATGACTTTTCAACTTAAACGGTTATACATATCCGCCTGTGTGTGTATATGTATATATATAATACGAACATATACATATGGTAAACTATGCCAATGCTATATCCTCGTTGTAAATGTTTTTCTTTTGTAAAGTTATTTTAAATTACTTACACCAGTAAATTTTAGAGGAAAAACTCGTATTCACCTAAAGTATATATGGAGTGAAAAGAATAATCTAATGTTTTATAGGAATAATTAAACAAGCAAAACCCTAAATAAAAACAAACACAAAATCCTAAAATCATAGCCACTATCCATTAAAAGATGTTATATATATATAAATATGCATTGCTTTTGGGGTTTCATACCGATAAATATACAAACACACACATATATGCATAACAGGTTTTATGAACTATATAAATGGTAAATAGTTGTTTATGGAACTTATTCAAGATGATGAACCCAGAAGTCCTTGTTTTAATGCAGAACAGAACAAATTCCCTCTAAGCCTACCAGTTCTAATGTTTTAATGCCCACTACAACTGAAAGTCAGAAGGCAAAAAATCTCAAAATAATTGCTTTCAACTAAAAGTCTGAAACATCTTCTCTTTTTCCAAAACGACGCCGCTTTTGTTGGTAGAGGCTGGGCTTGGCTCTTTTGACTTGGGCCGGGCTTTTCAATTTGGGCTGGGCTTTAGCTTTGCACTCGTTCGGTTTGAGTTCACTTGTTTTTTAGTTCTAAAATTTTTTTATAAAATATTTAAATAAATAATAAATTTAAAATAAAAAATTTAAATATTAATCGAAATAAAAAATAAATTATATAATGCTTACACGTAATATATTATAATGAAAATTAACATAAATAAATAATTGGATAATCACAAATGACACCAAGTGTACAAAAGTTTCCTACTGTTTGGATAGTGACCAGAAGTTATGCTTACGTGTTACACCATCATCATCCTTACTCTTCAAGTTCGTTAATCCTTATTTTTTAAAATAAAAATAAAAATAAAAATGATATTATTTTATTATAATAAATTAAAAATTAATAAAATAATAATAATTAAATTTAGAATATATTTAAAAACTTTATTTTATAATATAATAATGTAAAAATATTTAATAATAAAAAAACCTGTCACTAAAAGGAAAATTTATTTCACGTTTCTTTTATTTTGTCATTTTAGGTGGTGAATCACAGTGACGTTGGAGGACGACGATGACGATGATGGGGAGGAGGATTTGGCAGAAGCAGAAGCCTTGGCGGTGGCTGCGTCAATACCACTCTTACACCGTCTGTCCGTCGTTTCAGCCTCCAGTGTACAAGCGTCCGTTTCTAAATCCCCTTTCCGGGGACACTTCGGTGTCGTTTCGCTCGGGTAGCAGCTATGTCGACGTGAGTGTTTGCTGCTATACTTAATCTTTGTTTAAAGCTAAAACAGTTGAGCTTGATTTTATTTTTGTGTCATCTTAGCAGTTAATCTTCGTACTTTAGCTATCTGTTTTCTGTCACCGTTGCACAACGAGCACTGTTGTATATTCAGTTGTTAGATGAAATTACAGTTCACTATTCCAACAAAATTTTCAGTGTTTATTGTTCAGAATTCAAACAATTCTCGATCACTTTAATAGAAAACTGTTTTTGTTCTGGCGGAAGGGGAATTTTTCTTAGGAATAATAGTTAGTATCTTTCTTGTGAGGGATTTCGTATTTTTCTCTGCTTCGTGTAATCAATGCAACCTTACATCCGGAAAGATCGATTTTCAAGCTTATTGATCATGTCTTCTGTCTTTTTTAGATATTAAAAAAAAAAAAGAAAAACAAAACAGCAGAAAAAATGGTGGAGTTCTGATTTATATGTTCTCTGGATATGACTGGATGGCTTTGAAACAGAACCACTGTAGGAAATCGATGTGAATTTATCTTGGAGTGTACATGTTCCTATCTGGATTATCGAGATTTAATGATATGTCATTGCTAACCATTAATGTTATTCTCTTTTAATATTGTAGTTCAATATTCCACATTTAATGACTAGATGTTGGTTTTCAACTCAAGCTCTGGCTGATCTTTCACGGGGAGCTGTAGTTGATGTACCACTGGCACAAACTGGTGAAGGTATAGCTGAATGTGAACTTCTTAAATGGTTTGTGCAAGAGGTGAGTGGCTGATGCTACTATGGATTTTTGTTTCTCACGTCTCTTCACTGATCATATTTTTTCTTTTCAAATTTGAGTTGTTTTTATTTCTGCCCTAATGTATGTTTAGTAATAAACTTCTCCTGTTCTAAACAAAGAGATGGTATGGCAGGGGGATCAAGTTGAAGAATTCCAACCTCTCTGTGAAGTCCAGAGTGACAAAGCAACAATAGAAATAACAAGTCGTTACAGAGGAACAGTAGCTCATATTTTGTATGTTCCTGGTGACATAGTAAAGGTGAGAGTTCAGGACCATTACTCACACCAATAATCTATATTGCATTATGGCCATTGCTATTTGATTTTCTTGTTATTGTCTGGATTCTTAGCTATTTAGTTTGTTGGTTTTCGACATGGTGTACAGTGTGGAAGGGAAATGTAGCAACCTTAAGAAATGGAAATAGTTACTTTTTGAATCTGTGATTGAGCAAATCTTGGGTAGAAAAAGAATTGCTAGAACATGTGCTGCAACATCAACATTTTGCTTCATGTCATAAAAATTTCCACTTCAAATATCCTTAGCCTTTGAAATCTCAGGTTGGACCTCGTTGAGCGTCACGTGCAGCAAAAGATTGGAACAAAAATCCCCAGAATAACTTTCTTTTTTCTTTAATAAAAGGACTGACACTGTTATGCATCTCTTTTAACATTTTACTCTCTCCAAATTCGCCCATGTTTTATAATCATGGAAAGTGAGTCCACCAATTGGATTTTATTCTTGAGTTGACTTTCTAGCTTGCTTATTAACACATCTAGAAGGGTATTTATGCTTCCAAGTTCTACTAACTGCAGGTTGGAGAAACTCTTCTAAAGATGGTAGTTGAAGAATCTCAGGTTCCACTAGTATCTTCTGAGAGTTTAGAAAAAATAGAGCCAGTTGATTCTGGGCCAACTAGAAACAATAAAGGTGAAGTTCTATCCACTCCTGCTGTTCGGAACCTTGCAAAGCAACATGGTATAAACATTAATGATGTCCAAGGAACTGGTTTAGATGGAAGGGTGTTAAAAGAAGATGTGCTTAGCTATGCTGTCAGTAAAGGAATAATTAAAGATCCATCTACCACCGTGAGTGTTCATTCTGGAGAGCAATTTATGGGGGGAGAAGAGTGTCATCATTATGCATCTGCTGCAGTTTCAATCAACTATGATGATAAGACAGTTCCCCTGAGGTACAGGATGCATGCATGAACAAAAATGAAACTGAGTTGACTTTTTGAGTGGTCTGTTCCGGTGCATACCTTCAAAATACAATAACAGACACACTAGTAATTAAATAAAACACACAGAATTAAAACTTATTTAACAGTGATCAAGCCTGCTTCTTCTTCGTTCCATGAGTGAACTTTCTATAAGCTTTGCAAGTGCAAGGAACTATTAAAATCAGAAAAGAACATCCATAATGCTTATTTCTCATTTAGCCTTTAGGTGAAATCATGGTTACTAGTTAAGTTCAAAGTCAAACTCAAGTTAATTTACTTTGTTTTTTGCAGGGGATTCCAGCGAACAATGGTCAAGACAATGTCTATGGCTGCAAAAGTTCCACATTTTCATTATGTAGAAGAGATAAACTGCGATGCACTTGTTGAGCTTAAGTCATCTTTCCAAAATAATAATATGGACCCTGATGTCAAGCACACTTTCCTTCCATTCTTGATCAAGTCACTTTCTATGGCCTTGAGCAAGTATCCCTCAGTGAATAGTTGCTTCAATGAAGAGTCACTTGAAGTTATCCTAAAAGGTTTGCGTATTTGGTTTTGCCTTTTAATTTTCTGGTAAACACATTATATTCAATAAACTAAATACCACAAGTAAAATATAAGGAGATATGTGTTCTAGCAATATTAATGATGCATTTTCTTCTCGTTTGTGATTATGCTTGAATAATTAGAGCTGATTACAATTTCTATTTTTCTTTCCCATTTATAAAATGTTCTAGTTTTAGGTGGAAAAACTTCAGTGATTGTGTTCTTTATATTTTGATATAGATTTATTATTCTAAAATGAATTATATGATGATACTTACTTGCTTGAAGTGGAATACTGGATAATTAAGATTGAAGAATATTTGCCATGTGATTGCACTTCATTTTCTTAAGCTAGGTCTTTTATCCTGCGCTAACTTTCTTAACACTTGAAGCATTAGAAGAATTAATATCCTCACGTATTAGTGAGTTAATGTTGCATATGATTACAGTCCTTAATTTTTCTGGAACTACCTAACTTGGGAAGAATCCATGAACGGGAGGCACTTGGTTAGCCAGTGTGAATAGGATTAGCATTTGAACTTCTAACCTGTTAAACCATCAACTCTTGAAGAGAAGCGTGTTCATGATTTTCATGTTCAGGTTTAATGATTTGAACAATTTGGTTTTTAAGAATAAAGTTTCGAGATGTTAGTAATTTGAGTTTCTAGGTGCAAATTGTATGCCGTGTATATTCACTATATTGAGGCTGCTGTCTTCCATCTTTGATGTGGCCCATCTTTTTTTCCCACTTTATTCTTCTCCATTTTATATATGTTGGGTATGACTGTCCTTTGACTATTCTTTATTATAGGTTCCCATAATATTGGAATTGCCATGGCTACTTCCTCTGGACTAGTTGTACCAAACATAAAGAATGTTCAGTCTCTTTCCATTTTGGAGGTTAGCTCTTTTTGACTAGTCAAGTAATTTATTTTTTCTCCTCTTTCTTATTGAGCAATTTGTCCGATGTAATAGTTTTGCCTTAGTCCTCATTCTTTTAAAGAAAAAGGACTTAGTGTCTTATTCATTAATCCACTTTTCGGAGCATAATGGAAAACGAACAAGGTTGGTGTTCTCAAGAATATGCAATGCTAGATTTTGGTAATTATTGCATTTTTCTTTGACCTTGGCATGTTTACTTTCTCAGTTTCTCTAACTGTTTATCTCTCTCACCCCCCTCCC